CTAGAACCTCTAGAAACACTAGCTACTGGCTACAATAAGTTGGGCTTCTGTGAGTTTTAGTCCAAAGATAACTTGAGGCCCAAGTTTGAGAACTATTCAGACATTCTAACTCAGCACCTTGGCATGAACAGACATTATCTGAGGTGATAATCCTTCTATTCAAGCTCATTTTTAGGCCATAAAATACCATGGAAAAGTGAATGCACAGAGAAAGCACTTCACACGTGATCTTACATACAGAATGAGCCAGTTACTGTATATAGAGAGCCAGCCCTTTCATTAGGCTGCCTCAGGCAGCAAGCTGAGGAAAGCAGCAGATAGGGAGCAGGAGGCCCACTGCTGGGCTATCGTTGGCTGCCCTCCCATAACAACCATCTTGCAACTGATCTGAGGCTTGCAAAGCACTTGTGGTGTTGTGCTTAATTTGTGCTTTTTAGTACTATCTCCCTGCGCCTTTCACTGCATGCTCCATTTCCAAGCAGGATCTGTTGCTGAGTGATAAGAAGCTGGTCCATTTCTTCTGCTCTTACCCAGGAATTGTGACACTGACTTGCCATTGTTCTTGTTCTCCTTCTCCTCTCCCCTTTGCTGTCAAAACTGAAAGGCTGAAGCAACCCCTACCCAGCATCCATGGGGGAAGCAGGGGGAAATGTCCAGTTCTTTCTTCCACTTTTGCAATTTGATCTCCTCTGTTTAAGAATTAAAATTGGTGTGTCTGTGTAGGCAATTCTCGGATATACAAGGAAGAGGACTGTCTTCGCGGAAGCTTTCATGGCTGGGATCTAATGGTTGTTGTGGGTTTTTCAGGCTCTTTGGCCCTGTTCTGAAGTTGTTCTTCCTAACGTTTTTGCCAGTCTCTGTGGCCAGCATCTTCAGAGGACAGGAGTAGCACTCTGTGCTCTGGTGCAGTTTGTTTGGGAGTTGAGTATTTATAGCTGTTGGATCAGCTTTGTCCTTTTCAGGAGATGGGTGATTACAGTGATCAGTGTGTTTTTGTTGTGGGTGTATTGTTGTGATAAGGTGGAGAGATTATCTGTCACTGTGATTGATGGGTGTCGTTAGCTGGTCTTTTATGTGTAGTGATCACCGGTCCTTGTGGCTGAGTAGAGTTTGTTGACCTTTTCCAGGCTGTATTTTTCAGTGCTGGGAACCAAGCTTTGTTGAGTTTTAAACTTTACAGTGGGGTCTTGACTAGAGAACTTAATCCGTATTGGAAGGCAGTTCTCAAGTCAAAATGTTCTCAAGTCAAATCTGCATTTCCCATAGGAATGCATTGAAAACCATTTGATCCGTATCTGCTCTTTTCCGTCCATAGAAACTAATGGGAAGCTGCTATTCTGCCTTCGACCACTAGAGGGGGGTATTTTGTTTCTTTTTTTCTTAGGTCAAGAAAGGTTCAGGGAAGGCAGGGAAAATACAGTCCAGGCAGGACAGTACCAGGCAGTCCAAAGACTGTCTCCCAATCCACTCTCTAAACGCTGGGAGGAGTGAGGAAGCAGACAGGCACCCTTTTCACTGGCCAACAGTTAGCTGAAAGTTCACATTTTGCACTTTCCCTGCCTCCCACGTGGTTTTTTTTCAGCTTGTTTTAGGGCATGTTCAGCTACTGCCGATTTTTCCAGTTGTTTTAGTCTGCAGTGTCTCTCAGGTTCTTTGATTCTGGCCTGGATGCTTCGTTTTGTGGTTCCAATATATACAAGGACTGGTGATCACTACACACAAAAGACCAGCTAATGACACCCATCAATCAAGTGACCGATAATCTCTCCTCCTTATCCCAACAATACACCCACAACAAAAACACACTGATCACCGTAATCACCCATCTCCTGAAAAGGACACAGCTGATCCAACAGCTATAAATACTCAACTCCCAAACAAACTGCACCACAGCACAGAGTGCTACTCCTGTCCTCTGAAGATGCTGGCCAGAGACTGGCGAAATGTTAGGAAGAACAACCTTCAGAACACGGCCAAAGAGCCCGAAAAACCCACAACAACCAAGAGGACTGTCTCTTTGGGTAGTACATCCTTGATTCCCCAGTACAGATGCACAGTAGTATCCCCTATCCTCCACCACACCATTCTTCTTTATCATACATAGTGTATACTGTGTGAGACAAGGCTTTCTTTAAAACAATTATAGGTGGGAAAATCCTTATCAGTGTCAGCCTATGCATGTTCTGCTGCATCAGCATGAACAGGATTTTACCATGCAACAATCGTAATAGCTCAGCATGAGGTTCTGAAATGAATTTTCTCCTCACAATTTCCTGCTTCAAACACTGACAGCTTGGGATACTGTACACTTTGACATGGGAGAGGTGTGCAATTCACCACTGTGTCTCTGGCAGCAAAATGTTTTTGGGCTAGTCTCAGTTATACAAACAGAAGCTTTTTGGACTTTACAGTGAAGCTCACTGTATGAATGTGCATGCAGGTCAATAATATAAATAATATTCTAACTATTACTGTTTACTAAGCAAAGGAATACAAGTCATCTTTGTGTGTTGTAGTCCCTCCTAAAACTACCAGCCAAAATTACGTAAATCTGATTCTGCTTCATGTCCAGTTTTTTATATATATGTTTCTTTTGCACCCTTAAGAAACGATAGACCAGAATACTCAATGTTGATGAAACGACTTTGACTCCAATCCTATGCAAACACATTTGAGAGTAAATCCCTATGATTACAAATAGCTCTTACTTCCAAGTAAACATGCACAAGTTCAAGCTCCAGAGAAATCACCCTCCATTTTTGTACTGTGCAATCCCGGAGGGTGCAACTTAGTTTATACAGAAGATGCATATCTTTGCATGGGGAACAGGAGAAATGACTTCCCCAGGCTGTCCTTCACCTGCTTTCACCTGTGCTGACCTTCCTTTGACTTTAAGTTGCTCTTCCTAGGTTGGTGATGTCACTTTTCCCCCCTCTCTCTTGTCCATCTTTCTTGTCCCTCCAAGAAAGAGACACCTTCCATTTGTTCTCTGGAGATGAAAAGGGGCAGCTATGGCTCCTGACACCTCTGACTTAGAGCCTGGTACAGCCTAGCCATTTTGAGTGTGGGGTGGATTGGGCTATAAAAGGTCTGTTGAGGTCAGGAGGGGTAGTGATGTGCTGTTTGGTGCACTCCTCCCATCTGAAAAACAAACAACCCCTTGTAGCTCAATCAGCTGTCAAATAAGCACTTCCCCGATCATCTGCGGAAGGGGAAGTGAAACTACTATTTGTTACATCACTCTTCTCTCCCTCTGTTGCTGCTGCTTCATTTTCTCCCTTCCCCACTTCCTGCTTCCCTTGTTCTTCCCCTCACTTTCTCTCCTGGAATCTGCAGCCACAATGGTAGTTGGAAGCGGCAGCTTCTGGAGACTGCTATTTCCCAGCTAAACAGCCTAAACAATAAGAGTGCCAAAAAGAATTCATGCTCCCCTACTGGGCCAGAAAGGTGTGCAACAGTCCCTAAAGGGGAAGGAGGGAACAGTAGAAACAGTTGTGGACAAGGTCATTTTCAATCAAAATTGTGCCATTAGTAATCCATATATCGTATCTATATACCAGTGTGGACAGGCCCTTAGCTAGAACTAGGACTTCTATCATCTTTCCTATCACAAGTGTATTTTTCTAAGAAACCCAAGCTTTCTTACCGTCTTAGGGAGAAGCATGGATACGATTTCTTTATGAAACAGGAAAAGCATACTTGGCTGATTATTTCAAGTTTCAAACGGCTGAATCCACAAGTTGCTCCTGCATCACTAAGTGCTTATTCTCCAACACTCAGGACGCAACAAGGGCCCCAGGTAAGGTGGACCTCATGTCTACTGTACTTACGCTATTCCATTTCTCCTGCAGCAGAAGCATTGCCACTGCCTATTATTTACCAGAACAGCAGGGTCAGAACTACTGGCTTGCAAATATCTTGAACTTCAATACTTAGAATCCCTGATCATTGGCTATGTTTGCTGGGATTTTGGGGAGCTGAAATCCAATGTGGAGGGTCAAGGACTGAAAATCATTTGCCCCTGGAAAGTTTGCAGAGGCGTTCTAGATGTTGACATGCTTGGACTATAGTGTTTTTTTTAATACCTAGAACAGTATTGTTTTTTGACACTGACTTGCAAGCAATGCACCAAATACTGCTGAAGTATTAAATGTACAGTATTAATAAAACCCTTTCAGGCCTTTTGGTCCAAATGCTTTGCCTGCACTTTGAAGGACCCTGAATCTCAGCTAAATGCTATTAAATATAAACAGAACTTTTCAGATTTCCACAAAGGCTTTGATCTCTCTTGCTCACAGAACACTAGCCTTGCAAGCAACCTTATACTGTACCAGGCCTGATAATTTGTTCATCTAGGGCAGCATTATTTATTCTCACTTGCAGCAAATAGACACGTCCTGAAGCAGAGGTCTTACACATCTCAGGATTAAATGCGGGGCTTTCTGCATGTAAACTGTGTACTTTATCATTGGGCTACATTGCTTCCTATGGTAGTGCTATTGCATATATTTCTTAAACATTAACTGCAAAGATGTAAAAGCATGAGCTACACCAAATATGAAGACAAAGAGACTTGTAGTCTCTTGGTGGAAAAAAAAAACCATTATGAAATGTATTGTTCCACCACCAGCAACAACATGTAGTATATTTTAAATAACAAAATATAAACTAGAAAAAAATCTCTATGATCTAGAACAGCTGGCTGGGTAGCTCAATAAATTAAGTATCTGGCTGAGGAGCCAGTAGTTCGGAGTTCGATTCCCCACTTGGCCTCCTGCAAGTAGGGCCAGTCTGTGTGGCCTTCGGCAAGCTGCACAGTCTGAGGGCAACCCCACTAGAAGGGAATGGGAAATGACTTCCGAGTATTCCTCTACCTGGAAAACCCTGAAAAGAGTTGCCATTTCAGAATTAACTTCACAGGCATATTATATTATATTATCATAATCTAAAACAATCATTCAAATATTGTTAGTCACATAAAAATAAAAGAGTCCTCTTACCAGCCACTTCAAGGGGACCTATTTTCTTCTTCGAATCTTTGTCTTCATATTTAAGTTCAGGACACCTAGTTTTTTCCTGCTTGTCTGTGTTTGTATTAGTGCCACTAATAACGAAGTGTTGTACAATAGGCTTCCTTGGTAAGGGAGGTTTTGTGCTGCCCTGTTCAGAAGATTTTGACTTGATTTTGAGGCTCTGGCTTAAAAAGCTATTGATATTTACATCCACTGTTTTTCTGACCTCTGACATTTCGCCTTGCAGTGAAGAAGACGCAGGCACTCCCTCGTTTCCTGAATTAAACTCTGCACTGTGTCTTTTAGTCTCCTTCAATTCCTCTGAAATGCTGTCCTTGTTCTTCAGAGATAAAGAGGTAGATCTGAGTTTGACATGAAATGGATTTTTATCTTCCCCATTTGGCTGGCCACCACTTGACTGCTGTGGACCACCCCCAGAAGACTTACTTAGGACTGGCTTAGACCCGACAGTCTGGGCCTGTGACACAACCACCCTTCTATCCAATGCTCTAGCAGGTCCTTCCAATTCTGGCTCAAGCAGGGATGGCTGTTTCTGAGTGTTGTCTTTGTTGTCTGGGAAAGAGATCAGGTCCATGTCCATCTTGGTGGTTTTGGAGGAGGTTTTTTTTGTTTTAGCTTGCAAGACTTGTGTGGTAACCAGATTCTCATACTCTAAAGTTTCCTTTACGTTCAAGCTGCCAGTCCTTGATCTCCCACAAGCTGCTGACACTGAAAATTTTCTCAAAGCGAAGAGGTCACCGGTTTCTGTCTCTGCTTTTTCTCCTAAAATCGACACACTAGGCATTGCTGGGTGGTTTTCTTTATCAGATTTACTTTTCTCCTGATTTGGCTTCACCTTGTCTAAAGTCAACAAAGGTTTGTCCATTTGTGATGAGGGATCAGTGCAGAATGTTTGAGAAATACTGCTATCCTCACAGTAGGCTAAATCAGTGGACTTAAAACTATTTGGTGAAGGATTGGTGGGATTAGACATGGAAGGAGATCCCTTTATAGTTCTCTTATTACAGTTCTTTTCTGGAAGTGCCTTTCCATCCATCCGCATATCTTTTTCCGTTCCATCTGATGTAGGGATCACATCATTTTTGGCTAAGACATTCTTATGGGACAGCGTGTGACTTTTTGATGAAACATCAGAAATGTTTTTTTCTTGACTTATAATACCAAGTGACACGCCACTTAAATTACCAGTGGGGATTTCCAGGATTTCCAGGTGCTCTTTCTCTTGCTTTGGAATACGATACAGGGCGGCTACGTCTTCCTTGTGGTCAGCAGATGGTGACGGTGATACTGTCTGTGCTAATTCCTGCATAATTCTGCACCCTTCTTGGTTATTGCCATAGGGAAGTGAGTCAATCTCAGAAGGCGCAGAGTGTGGCATAAAGCCTTCTTTGTTTTGGTGACTTAAGGTCTGCTGTTCAAGACCTTTTGACATTTCAGCTTGCTCAGAGGATGCTGCATCTAATGAAGCAGCACTGCTTGTCAGTTCCTGATGGCCAGGACTGACTGCATAAGTCTGTTCAGCCAGCATCCCTTTCCTGTCACGTCTATCTTCTTCAAGAGTGCAGCTCAAGTCATTCTGAGATTCTGGCAAGTTCTTCTGCAAGAAACAATAGAAATTGAGTCTTTTCTCTACATAACAATACCCTTTCCTTTATTTATCTAGGACAGCAGAACAACCAGTGTAGAGGTGGCCTTCACTTTCCTCTGGAAGATAACACCTGACATGTCTGTCTGAAAACTACCGTCTCATTTTGTTTTGTTTTCCTTTGCTTCTTCGCCATCAGAAATTACTGTGTTATAGAAAAAACTGGAATGCTATCCTCTACAAACCAAGCTCCCCCCCAACACACACCATTACATGCACAGAACAAAGAAAAGGTACTTAACACAAACGTAAACTGAGGTTTCTTAATTCCCTAGTTCTTCATAATAATCTTTTCCTTTCCTTCAGCTGGCCTTGTTGTCTTGGTTCAATTTTCATTTTTTGCTTTAAAGGTCAATGGATCTGCAATTTCAGCCCATTATCTTTGCAAGCCTTGGAAGTCTTAATTTCCCCCCCCCCACACACACAGAGGTTTTTATTCTTTCTCTGATGGAGGAAAAAGGCTTTCTGAAAGTTTGTAAAACAGTTATTTATGTATAAAGTATTTTTATATATATCTTCGGAAAAAGCTTTTGTATAAATAAGGGTTTAGGAAAATGCACAAAATGATTTCAAAGCAATCAAGTTTATTATGCATTTTCCAATAGTTCTTCCATTAGGCTGTCTATATATTTCCAATCTATTCTGCAAATTAACTGTTAGGATGGAGATGTTTTAAAGCAAGTATTTGCTTTCTCTAGACGTACAATTTCTTTCTGGTTTGTGGTGGTTAGGATGTCTTTAGCAAGCCAAACTGGCCATGAAATTCAATTATAACAAAAAAAAGGAAAAGAAAAAAAGAGAGAAAAACATACAAAGTACTGATATCTAAAGAAGAGACAGAGAAATATACTTAAATTTAAATTACAGATTTTTCACTCTGGAGAAAATGAGTCTACCTAGTATTTATTGACGGGCAGTACAGACCTTGCAAATGTATTTAATGCCTAATGGAGCAGAGAAAAACACTATTATTGCTTCAAATTACCCACCCACCACCAAAAGCAAAAATTATCAAGGAAGGGCCTTTCTCTGTTATATCAAATAAAGCATTACATTCCAACCAATTAGAAATCTTTAAAGCTGGTATGTTACACATATTACCTGGGAGTGAGTCCAATTAATTTAATGGCCAGAATCGTACTGATGTTTAGAAAAGGTCTGTGTAATCTGTTGTGGGTAATTGTGGCTAAATGATAAGATGCCAAGATGCATCTCTGTTGTCTTCATAAGTGCATGACTAGGCACACAATCATGATGTGCCCTGCTGCCTCTTCATTTAGATGCAATTAGCTAGGATAAGTAGCCTAAACTTTATATAAACACCAATAGCCTTGCAGCCAATAAGACATAATTCTGAGCAGAAACACAAAGGATGGACCTGTTGAGGCATAACATGGTCTTTGTTCACCAATGCCTGCAAAGTGTGGTCATTTCATCAATAGGAGCCCCAAAGTCTTATTGGGATTCATTATCAGGGGGACCTGATAATGGTAAAAAACTATTAGAGAGATGTCTTCAAACCTTTGTGCTTGAAGATCTAGAATGTGGGCAAGCATAACAGGGCGATTCAAGGGAGGAGCTTATGTGTGCCCAGCCTACACAGAAGCAGGTGAATGTATAAATAGGATTACAACATTGTCAATATTTGAAAAAATGTATGTATAGGCTATTAAAATACAGTTAAAGGGGTGCAGAAAGTTACTCTGAAAATGAAAGTATATTTAAAAGTATAGTTTGAATATACTTTACTATAGTCACTGCAAAACTATTTTAGTTGTACAGAAACAATTAGCTAGCTTTACTGAATGATGTTTTGGTTACAACACAGAGATGACATATGCACATCTGATAGTTTGCCCTTTTTGTAGTTCCAAGTTACTTTGTACTACAGTGTTTGGCTTTTCCAGGATTCCAGGTTTTCACATCTTTGACGCTACAAGACTATGTTCATTTAGGGTATGCAAAAGTTATTAGTCAAACCCAAAATCATTATCAACATAATGACAAATTGGCATATTGTAAATTATAGAAAATGGAAATTGCAGCCAAGAAATCAGCAGAAGACTAAGGTTCAGAAGGGCAACAATAAAGGAATTAGAAAAGATCATCAAGTGTAAGGATGTGTCACTGGAGACCAAGATCATCCACACTCTTGTATTTCTAATCATCATGTATGGGTGTGAAAGCTGGACAGTTAAGAAAGCTGACAGGAAAAAAATGATTTATTTGAAATGTTGTGTTGTAGGAGAGCTATATGGATACCCTGGACTGCCAGAAAGACGAACAAGTAGGTCCTAGATCAAATCAAGTCTGAACCATCTCTAGAGGCAAAAATGTTGACATTGAGGCTGTCCTACTTTGGGCACATAATGAGAAGGCAGGATTCTCTGGAAAAGACAACAATACTGGGAAAGGTAGAAGAGAGGAAAGAACATGCATTTCTAAATTTCCCGCCCCCATACACAATTGTTTGGAGAAGGGTCAATTACCGAAGGTGACTTTCTTGTTCTACTACATCTCTGGTTCCGTGGTTTCACTAAAAGCTTGTGCTTAGCAGCGGAATTATCCAAGCAAGAAGATAACTCAGGTGGAATATCAAAATCAGCAGGAGGTGACAGACTGTGGTCAGATGTTCCTAAGGTTATAATTTTAGCACTTGACTGTCTGGGGAATAGTTGACTGTCTGTAGAACAGGATCTCAAAGGACTTGATGTGACCTAAACAGAAAACCCAGAAAAGAATAAGAAACCATCAAGACAAAAGAAACATGGATAGCAAAATAAACCTTCTAAGGCATGTTACTCATTTATTTCATCAGCACAGGAGTCCATGATGCCAATTAAGCTTTCCATTAGAGCTACTTCACTAACATTAATATCTCCCTTTTTCATGTGAATCTGGACCAAAAGATACTTATTGTGACGAAATGTTGCCGCTACTGCCAGGACTGTAGGACAGCACATATATTTAATAAGGCAGTGTATACCTTTAATAAGTATAGCAGTTAACCTGTTACCATTTCACTTAACTCAAGAAATAATAGAAGGCACTTATGTTTAGATCATACTTACTGAAGGCCAGCTCCTGTTCTGATTCCCACCATTAAGCCTTTTGGATCACTGCACCTTTGCCTATTCTTTGTTTATTGTATTACATTTTATTTTAACTCCAGCCTAACAGCTCTGTCTTGCCCTCTCCTACAGAATGGATTCACATACTGTATATACACGTATAATATTCAATAGACCATCATGCAATGACAGGTAAGGCTAGCCCAAGATATACTGCTATCTGAAGCAAAGAACAAGATTGTGCGTACTCAGTGTGTACCATATACAAATGTTGGGAATATACCGTGTTTCCTTGAAAATAAGACAGGGTCTTATATTAATATTTACTCCAAAAATGCATTACGGCTTATTTTCAGGGTTTTTTTTTTCATATACAACAATCTACATTTATTCAAATACAGTCATGTCATCTTCTTCTGGTTGCTGCACAATGGTGGAGGGCGGGGTTTCACTTAACTGGGGCTTATTTTTGGGATAGGGCTTATATTATGAACATCCTGAAAAATCATACTAGGGTTTATTTTCAGGTCAGGTCTTATTTTCAGGGAAACGGGGTGTGTGTGTGTGTGGGGGGGTTATTTTCAGGTCAGGTCTTATTTATATATATACTCTTATATATATAGGCTGTCTCTAAATGAGAGATATAGGCAAGAGACACAGGAGGAAAGCTGGAAGGCTGCTGTAGCTGGGCCTTGGCATCTGCCCTTTGAGGTGATCATCCGAATCTACTTAATGGTTGAGGTGGCTGTGCCAAGAGGGACTCTCATGAGAGCAGACTAATTACCTCAGCTCTGCTGATGGAGCTTGATCAATGATGCGTTTAATATATGAGATACATCACTTTGCAATGCATAGGTGAAATGTCCGTGGTCATGTGTCTGCAGTTCTCAATTCCACTTCAGCAGTGTCTCCATTTGGAAATTGAGAGAAATGGTTCGTTTGCCAATCTACAGCTGAAGTAGGTTTAAAGCCTACAAACTGAATGGACAGCATTCTATATTTCAGACCATTGTATTCCAGGAGAAACTGTGAGGGGAAGTGCTAGGAACTGTTATCCTTAGAACAGAAGTAATACAGTGCTTTATATTACACACAAAAGTTTTGTTTAGGAAATTAGAGACCTATGTAATTCCTTTTTGTATATTACTTCCTTTTCCACTCATTCACTTGCTCTCCATCTCACACAATGGCCTAGAATGTCTTGAATTTTCCAGCTGAGTCAATGAGTGTCCTTTAATTGCTAAAATTCTCTTCAAATGGGTTCCCTCCTAGTCAAGAGGAGACGGGAAAGAGAGATATTGGCCTAAATCTTCTTGCTCAGCCTTGTAAATTGCACTGCAGTAGGCCCATTGAATCAATTGAGATTTTGTGAGTCAGCTTTTCTGTAAGCTCCATTGATTCAAACGAGCCTATTCTAACTGCAGCTTAAGTGAAACCAATAAATGCATTAATAAACAAAAGTAAATGAACTGATAAACAAAACTATTACCACATTTTGAAGACAAAGATATTTATTTCAATGTAAACTTTCATAAAGTTTTGAAAGAGGTAGTCGTGTTAGTCTGTGCAAGCATATCTGGCAAAATCCAAAGAAACAAAACAAAACAAACAAAACAAATAAGACAAAAACATGTGCCACTTTAAAGACTATTATATTTTAAAGTGAACTTTCATGGACCATTCCACTTTGTCAGACATATGGAAAAAATATTTAGGTCACAAGTTTACTTACATAGTATACATGGTTGCACTACCATATACACCATACGCATGCACTTACAGGGAAAATATTGTACACAATGTGTCTGAGGAAGTGAAAACTCACACTGAAATAAATCTGTTAGTGCCACAATGCTTTTGTGTTTCTTTTTCTCATACATGCTGAAACAGGCTAATCTAGCTACCTTTTAAAGACGTTTCTCAACAATTATTCCTGGTCATCTGGGACTGAGGGGATGACTAAAATTCAAACCCATGCCTCTTGAACAAGGAAACCAATAGTTTTAATCAAAGCAAGCACTTTCACCTTATTTTCCTACAGGCAAATTAGAACTGGTTAATCAGGAACAGAAGGGATTTTTTTAACCTGTCTAGCTGGTTCCATGATCATGGTGAACATCTAACTCATCTCCTAGTGAAGGAAGATTTAACCCCGCCGCCCCCCCGGGTGCAGCCCTGTAGTTGTTCGATAATCCCACAATTATTGGACTGCTGCCCTTATGTATTACTTTCCTACCATGTAATATATAAATGTAAGTAAAATTACCTGTTCTTCTTCTTCACTGCCTGTTCCAGCTAAACTCAAAGAGCTAAGATGCTTGTGAGAGTCAGAGAACTGTGGAGTGGAATGAGGAAAAGGTTCAGTGATAGATGACAACATGAGATGAGATACATATAGAGGTTACATGCCATTCAAAACACCAGAAAGGCTATAGAAACTGTACAGCACAAGTAAGAATCTCTATGAAGTTCTATGAATTAGTAGGAATCCTGAAAATATGTTAGAAAAAGGACTTTTTTAAAAAAATAATGATTAGACATCCATGTGCTCCTACTAAATTATCAGTTGATCAAGGTCACTATTTATCTCTTGATCATTTTTGTAATTCCTACTTCTCTGCCATTGCTATAGTATCTTATTGCCACACCCTAATAAGTAACCCAAATTGATTCCTGAATAATCTACTAGTTGTTGTTTAGTTGTTGTGTCCAACTCTTCGTGGCCCCATGGACCAGAGCATGCCAGGCCCTCCTGTCTTCCACTGCCTCCTGGAGTTGGGTCAGATTCATGCTGGTAGCTTTGATGACACTGTTGAACCATCTCATCCTCTGTCGTCCCCTTCTCCTCCTGCCTTCATACTTTCCTAATATCAGGGTCTTTCCCAGGGAGTCTTCTCTTCTCATGAGATGGCCAAAGTACTGGAGCCTCAGCTTCAGGATCTGTCCTTCCAGTGAGCACTCAGGGTTGATTTCCTTTAGAATTGATAGGTTTGTTCTCCTTGCAGTCCAGGGGACTCTCAAGAGTCTCCTCCAGCACCACAATTCAAAAGCATCAATTCTTTGGCAGTCAGCCTTCTTTATGATCCAGCTCTACTACTACCGAAATAAAATAATAAAAAAAATCTGTCCATTCTCAAATTCCTTGTACTACCAAAATAAAATAATAATAATAAAAAATCTGTCCATTCTCAAATTCCTTGTAATGTGTTCTAAAACCTTCTGATCCATTGCAGTCATATCTACACCTGTAACTTTTTTTTCAGAATAATGTGCCCTAAGTTACAGTATCTCAAGGACTGTGTCTCCTTCTATGAGCTTGCTCGAGAGTTAAGATCATCAGGGGAGGCCTTTGTCTCAATCCCACAATCTTCACAGGTGCGTTTTGTGGGGACACAGGAGACGACCTTCTCCATTGCTGCTCCCAGATTTTGGAATTCACACCCACAAGAGGCCAGGCTGGCCAGATCTTTGCTGTCCTTCTGCAAGCAGGTGAAGACCTTTCTCTTCAGGAAGGCTTTCCCTGAGTGACTGGCTGTCTGGCTGAGGCTTTAAATGGATTGTTGTACCTTACTACTTTGAATGTGTTTTGATGTTGCTTATGCTTTTTGTATGACTTTTGTTTGATCCTTTTTAGTATGTGTACACTAAAAAGTTGTTAGCTTTTATATTGTCTTTTAGTGATGTAAGCTGCCTTGGGTTCTTTAAAGGAGAAAGATGGGGTAAAATATTTTAAATAAATAAATGTATTGTGTAGGGTCCCCTTGTGTTTTTCCCCAAATACTTAGCTATCCATTGGAGACTGAAATATTTATCAATTGAAAGGCAAAATGCAGATCAATGAAAGTTGGTTTCAATGGATAAACATAATGACATAAATACTGTTTTTATCTTGCCTTCAAATGTATGTTTTGAAATGGCCTGTTTGATACAGCCTACCTTTGCTGTACTAGAATTTAGAATTTCCTGTAGCAAAGATGCTTCTGGTGGACTTCTGGGCAATCCATCATCTTCTGAATTCATCCCAGGATCATCCCTCTTTGCAGGAGTTCCAAAGGCATATGGGAAGCCTGATTTCCAATTCTGCTGGAGCTTCAACTATGATGACAAATCTCTGATTATTTTTTCACATTTATATTCTATTCTTCCTTATCAAGAATCCAGAATGTCCAAAAGTTTCCACACTCATAATATCATCTAGAATATCATCCAAACCAGAATATCATACATACATTACTGAAATCATAATCTTAAAGTCAGCAATAAATAATAAGGTATGCTAATGCAGTATAACATCCGCCTGTGACATAAGAACTTGCACAAGTATGTTTCCAACTGGCCCTGAAGCAACAACAACAAAGGGGACAACTGGAACTCCAGCAGAAGAAAATTCCATATCTAGGATGCCACCAGTTAAAAGTTAACCATTCTGCCAAGTGTGGTTGCTCTGTGGACAATGCTCATCAGTTTGACAAAGTGTTGCCTACAGCAGAGATTCCTCAGCTGTCAATCCCAAATGGGTTAGCCCAAAGAAAAGCTATGTTTTCTGTTTCTGCAGGTTGAACTCACCAATAATTTACTTTTGTTATCATGAACTGGAGGCCAAGTATTTGCATACACAGGAGAACAAAAGCAACTGATATACAATCACCAGCAATTTCCAAACTCATAATGGCCTTCTTTCCCCCCATGGTAAGAGCTAATATATGATGTGTTGTTTAAGTTACCCTTTGTGTTAAGTCTGTGCTCAGGCAGACTGCTACCTGTCTACCTCTGTGACATATTTCTGCTGTTGTTGTGCTGCTGAATTTCTCAAGAATAAAAATAACTGAATATTGACCTTTAGCCAGAGACATGGGTTCAATGGTTTAGCAACAAACAGTGGGAACTTTTACTACAATTCATGCGTTCGCACATACTGTACTGCAGTTAGCTAAAGACGGTCAAAGTACTACTTGGAAAGAAACACTGCAGTGTACATACAAGCCCTCAATATGGCAATTAAAACATACATTTTAGTCTTAGCTCCATAGATAGAGACACAGTTTAATAACCCTGCACAGCTCTCAGGTGACTGGAATGCTTCATATCATTTAGGGACAGGTAATCTCAATCCCATAGGCCCCCCCCCCCATATGGCTTGCAGAGGTTCTTCATAACCTCTTCTCATGGTTAGTTCCTCCTCTTCCAATACCCTGATGGGATATAAGAGTGTGGGTTCCCAATGTTTTGCTCATCCTTGAGCTGCACAGCCTGGAAAAGCACTCCTTCAAGGTGCATGGGCTCAGCGGGGGCTTTGACCACTCCATACATGACCTGCCCAATCTGGGAAGATGAAATGTTGGCAACACTCATTCTCCAGCCAGCATTATACTGGCTGGAAAATGACACAATGATCACATCATCTATGTTAAGGAAGTTTCTGAGAGAAAATCCACTCATCAAGAGTCTTCACTCCTAACACAGAGTAACTAAAAGAATACCAAAACAAAGTCCTGTTGGGCCAGATACTTATTGGAAAACCATAGGTAAGACATGTCAAGGCAGCAGCCCCTTTATGTTTGTGTTTCCCAGCAAATGATAAATGGGGGGATACTCTAAATATTTATTTATTTATTTATTTATTTATTTATTTATTTATTTATTTATTTATTTATTTATTTATTTATTTATTTATTTATTTATTAGATTTTTACCCCGCCCCTCTAGATACATAGAAAAAACACATCAATATAACCTATATAAATCACAGAAAATACAATTATAACAGTCACTTATCATTACTATTAGCTTCTGATAACACTGTATTCCTCATTAATGCGGCAATATCCCTCTTAAAGCTATCCATGCTGGTGGCCATCACCATATCTTGTCATAGTGAATTCTACTGTTTAACTACTTGCTTTGTCAAGAAGTACTTCCTTTTATCAGTACTGAATCACCCACTGTTCAAATTCAGTGCATAACCTCTGATTCTAGTATTTCCCAATCTATATACAGTGGTGCCTTGCATAGCGATCGCTCCGTATAGTGATGAAATCACTTTGCGATGGACTTTTTGCCATCGCAAGAGCGATCGCTTTGTGATGGTTCCTATGGGGAAAATTTGCTTTGCGATGATCGTGGGGAAGCGATCATCGCAAAGCCCCCATTTTCACACAGCTGATTGGCGGTCTCAAAATGGCCACAAGAAAAAACAAAATGGCCACCCACTGTTTTGCCTCACTTTAGAGGCACTGAAAATGGCTACCCCTATGGAGGATCTTCGCTTTAAGGTGAGTTTTTAGCCCATAGGAACGCATTGCAATGGCTGCCCCTATGGAGGATCTTGGCCTAAAGGTGAGTTTTTAGCCCACAGGAACCCAGAGACCTCTGGGTAGGGTGTTTTGGGGCTTTTTATTTTCGCTTAGTGATGTTATCGCTTAGCAGCAATTTTTTCTGCATGGATTAACATGGCTAAGTGAGGCACCACTGTACTTCAAATTGAGAAACAGTTCTGTTAGCAGTTTGAAGTACTTTAAATTAATACTACCTTTATGTTATGATCAGACAGGAAGAAGCAAATATGGAGTCATCTTTAGAACCCAAATATTTTTTTAAACACAGCAATTATTTTAGTAGTGTTATATATATGCTTTATATTACCTGTAAAGCCCTAATCCGATCAGAAATGTTTTCTTGAGAAAAAACGCGGACTGGCCTAGCAGGTTCTGGTGCAGCCTCTGGAATAAAAATGCTGTCATGCGACAAGGCCCTGCTTCCCATAACACTTCTGTGTATCCTAAGAGGACACAGAAAGCTAATATGAAATGCACAATTTGTCTTTAACCTTCTTGTTTTTCTCAAAATAATGAGGCACATTTCAAATACTCACTTGAATAAAACCGCAATGAGTTGGAGGAACAGCCCAAGTATTAAGTTGGGATACCACACTTTCTTAGGAAGAGTACTCTGTTTTGCCTTACTAGGTGCACAAAGTATGCAGAGGACAAACTAAAAGGCGTGATCAAACGTTCTTTGTCTTGCCACATAGAATACTGGGTTCAACACAGTGTTCAGTCATCGTAATGGATCTCCATAAAGTAATGTCCAAACTAATACTTGCAACCAGTCTACTCTGCAGCACAAGATTGTGGGAAGCAAATGCTAAAGATAACTAAAACAACACCCCTCTCTATACAAGGGACATCTTTCCATCGCCTAGAAATAACAAGGGTTCCTCCAAATCAAGACCGGGAAACCTTTGTAGCTGTTCACAAACAGCCTCTCCAATGACCTCGTACCACTAGTCACACTAGTGCCTGTGATTAACTGGAAATCATGTCCAACATCACCTTGTGAGTTTCAGATTCCCCCTAAAGAACTTTGTTTTGTTAAGAGTTCCCCTTAACATTCTTTGGTCTAAAGACCACACCTCAATTACACTTTCAGTTTTGCTCCAAGTGACATTGAGGTAGTCATTCTAATGACAGTTAGTAAATCTGATGGCTTTTTAAAAACAGGAAATGAAAGTTAAAAGAAGAAATTAACTGTCTTTAAAATTAAGTCCTTCGGTGCAACACAAATTCTCTACAAGATTTAAGTGGGTAGTAGCTGCAGCAGTAAACAAAGATAGGATATTTATGCTGTAGTTTGGTACCCCCTTGTGGAAGCACTTTGTAACTAGCACTTTCAAATAGCACTGAAAGGCAACATTTTCCTAGATACTTAAGGCTCAGATTCCAAAGACTTATCCCTCACAACTTGAAAACAATGATCTGATCCCCAATTCCACATATGAATGCCATGACTACTCAGTGGAACAGGCTCAGCCCTATGTTCAAGTGTACTGAGGTCACTAGAAGGATACATTTACCTAATAAATAATATATGCGTGTCTTACTGAGATGGTAAATATTTATATGGACTATAGTGCATGATACTGTAGGCGGGGTGATTCTGTTTGGATACATATTTCCATCACACAAAAGACTAGATGATACGGAGGAAGATTCCAACCTAATATTCAACTGATATGCTGGTTTTCTTCCTGCACAGAAAAAGTGTTTATGGAGAAAAAAATTGTACATCCTCAACTACAGTCTGAAGCCATAAAGGAAATACACAGATACAGTACTTCAGTAAAAAATTATGCAATAAACACAGTAAAATATTTAAATGATTATACAGAAAAGTATTTAAATGATATAAAAATAACATTCTTTTGGTGGTCTTTAATTTTCTGCTCCTTGGTGGGAATTCTCTGGATACTGCAATGTGTTTACATTATTCTAACAAATGAACAGCCAGATGGCCTGGCCCTGTATTGATGATGTTTCTGTACAATGGTGCCTTGACTTACAAACCTAATCCGTCCCAGAAGATGTTTGTAAGTCAAAATGTTTGTAAGTCAAATCAGCACTTCCCACAGCAATGCACTGAAATCCAATTAATCCGTTCCGGCTATTTTTTGTTCTTACGTCAAGGCACGGTTTGTAAGTTGAAGTATTAGTTCCCATAGGAACTAATGCGAAACTGGTTAATCCATCCTCTACCACTAGGGGGAGAATTTTTCTTCTTTTAACCTAAAATGAACTTAGGTTAAAAAAAGGGCAGGAACGGAGAGAGGAAACAATGGGGGAAAGAGGAAAGAAAGAAAGAAGGTCATCACTGGGGCACACAGACCCCTCAGACAAAGGTTTGTGCTTTAAGCACAAAAAGAGAGAAGACAGAGAAAGAGAGAGAGAGAGAAGACAATGGGGGGGTGGAGAGAGTTTGGAGTCTAAAACACATTTTAAACCCACACATTTTACAACAACACATTTTAAACCAAGCAACCAAAAGACTAAAATGCATTTTGGAGGCCAGCAGGCAGACAGACCTTTGCAAACAGTTTTCTGATTTTAAAACCAACAGCCAGCACAGAAACATAACCCCCCACCTAGTCACCTAGCCCAACCCCAAGCAGCAAAACCCCTGTACAGTAAATACAGTGCGCTCACCCAGAACAGGCAGTCTCTCTGTTTTAAAAAAGAAAGTCAAAAATCAAAAAATCAAAAAGTCCCCTCCCAAAAAAATACAGTCCGGACAGTACAGTACCAGGCAGTAAGCAGTCTGAAGTCTCTCTCCATATCCACACTCTCTAACTGCTTGGGCGAGTGAGGTAGCAGACAAGCAGCCTCTTCGCTGGCCAACGGTTAACTGAAAATTCAAATTTCCCGCCTTCCCCACATTTTTTCATTCGTTAAGTCAAAGCTCCGTTTGCAAGTAAAAGCAAAATTTTGCGAACGGAGCTGTTCGTAACTCAAAATGTTCATAGGCTGGGACGTTCATAAGTCAAGGCATCATTGTACTTGCTTTGTTTCTGGTGTGTCACGAATTTTAGGTTAAAGACAGATCAAATAGATTTGACACAAGCTAGGATACATGTCAGAATTATTATTTTAGAGGTTCATAAATGTCTTTGACAAGATTAACATTTCTTCAGCTATGGTAGTATGCCAAGCACCCTCAAACAACACTTTGTGCTGCATTCAGTTTGTTACAGCATGATTGTATCAGGGATGAACCAGGAGTGGATTTTTGTGTGAAAGTACTGTAGGCTCTGTTAAGTCATTCAAAATTGACTCTTGGGACAGAATTATGTCATTCAAAGTGTATGTCTTTTGCACCAGACTCTGGGTGCTGGGGCTTTAGTGAGAGGGGGGGGAAGTGGATGAAATCAGATGCTATCGTTATGTGTAACAAAATGTGTAAGTGTCTGAGCCATGGAGTCATCTTCCAGTGCCTTGCCCAAGCAACCAGAATACAAACCAGAGCAGTATTTAAATGCCTGATAACCTCTTACAAAACAAAGCACAGCAATTTGCAAGCTATGGATATTGGAAAAATTCATGGGATTACAAACAGAAGGATTTTAACTCTAGCAATTGCTCCTTCTCACAAAACAAACAGACAAAAATCCCTCTCTTTAGTTTCTATTTCACTTCCTAAATAGGTCCTACAAGCCTGAAGTCTTCCTAGCCTGCTTTATATTATAAATGTGAACAGTGCTAGCCTTTTACTGGAAAGCAATAAACAGTATTAGCATCTCACTACAGCATATTCCTGAGGAATATCCATATTATTCTGCTGAAAATGATTAATTCTTGTAACAGGTTATAAACTAACAAATATTTTGCAGCACAAACCTTCATGAACTGGAGCCCACCTCAACAGATTTGATGTATACCACAGTATACATATCGCTAAAATAATCTGGATCCAAAAAATAAAAGCAGACGTTTCCATGTACAGAGGGGCTTTCCTGGCTCCTTCAACACTACAATAATTAAGGAGCCCTCCTGGAATGACTCAGAGTGAGGGGCGGGGGGAATGAATTGGAAGAATTTAAGAAAGTTGCCTTGCACAAGCAAATGTGCCTTTCCGCTGTGCAAGACATCTCCTTGTCCAAGACATGCTACATCTTTAAACAAAGATGTTTACAGTGGTGCCTCGCATAACGAGTGCACAGTTTAATGACGAACCCGCATAGCGATCTAATTTTTTAGATCGCTAATGCGATCGCATTGCGATGTTTTAATGGGTAAAACATTGCATTGCGATGATCGGTAAGCGTTTCACTTATCGATCTTCGCATTGCAATGTTTTTTTAAACAGCTGATTGGTGGTTCCAAAATGGCCGCCGGGTGCCTAAAATGGCCACCGCAAGTGCTTTGGCGCCATGCCCTCGCTTACCGAGGGCGCGAAAATGGCGGCACTATGGAGGAACTTCGCTCAACAGTGAGTTTGGGAGCCATAGGAACGCATTAAACGAAGATTAATACGTTCCTATGGCTTTTTCCGTTCCGTTTAGCAATGTTTCTGCATAGCGACGATTAATCTGGAACGGATTAACGTCGCTATGCGGGGCACCACCGTATTTGCATTCCATAAAATGGCCATGTACCAGTACATGTTCTTTGTGAAAAGGGTATTAAAGGTTTTACAACTTACTCAAGTTCATCTTCAGAATCATAATCTACATGCACGGACTGTGAGACTGTGACATCGCTTGTGGACTGGCTTGGTTTCAGACTCCCACTTCCTGAAGACGATAATGTCTCTTTTCTTTTTCTTTTCCCAAAAAACTTTTTGATAGATTTAAATTTAGACTTCTTCTTTCCTGAGTGAGTAAATATTAAAGAAAAAGTTGGCTTTTTAGAGTCAGTTTTTCAAGTTTGGATAACTCCACAACTCTTGTTCACAAGCAAACAAATAGGGCTGCAGCTCTCAATCAGAAATAAAAGAAAGTGAACTTGATTTTGTTAAGTTGATCATAATAACCCGTATATACATCTGCACATAAAACTCTGATTTTAAGTAGTAACATCTGGTGATTACATGTTCACGAAAACGTCTTGGATATTCTGGAATTGCAACTGGTTATAGCAGATCTAAATTTGCCTACAGTACTTATTTGTAAGTATGTATTGGCACATATTTACCGTAAGTAACTGGAGAGTGACTGACAATGGCAGGTTAGATATGTGCTAGGAATGAAAGGTGTGGAAGAATGTTCATGAATAGAACTGTGAAGTGATTAGTTAATATAATCTCTGACTACAGAGTTGTTGTTATATATACAGTGGTGCCTCGCATTACGACGTTAATTCGTTCCAGCGAAATCGCTGTAGAACGAAAATGTCGGAATGCGAAAAGAAAAAACCAATTGAAACGCATCCAAACCCGTTTAATGTGTTCCAAAGGGCTGTAAACTCACCGTCCAGCGAAGATCCTCCATAGGGCAGCCATTTTAGCTGCCTGTGCAGCGAGGAATCCGTCCCAGAAAACAGCGGGGGGCCATTTTGTTTACCCGGTGGCCATTTTGAAACCGCCGATCAGCTGTTGGAAAATAGTCGTTTTGTGAAGAATCAGTTCCCGAAGCAGGGAACCGATCATTGCAAAGCGAAATTCCTCCATAGGAAACATCGTTTTGCGATCGCAAAACGTTCGTTGTAATGCGGTTTCATTGTTAAACGGGGCAATCGTAAAGCGAGGCACCACTGTATAAGGGGATGTAAGTGAGAGAAAGAGTCAGATTAGGAAGTTATCTGTAAGAGCTATGAGACTGAGGTTTGAACTGAAAGAAAAAGAGCTGTGATGTTAAAACTGTGACTGTTCTGTTTTGTGAAGAAGCTGTGAAAAACAGTTTGTTCTTGTTGGAACTTGTGTCAAAACAAGCATCCATTTATACATATATATTCTACACAGAGAGACAGAGAGCAACTGAAGATGGTGGGAACTGAAATGTTTTGCTTAAATATTTCTGTTTGTTAGTCTTATAAATGTGTGTGTGTGTGTTTATGTGTGTGTTTATAGTGATTAACTGCATCCCTCAAATGAATCCAGAAAAACCTTGACTGAGATGGCATTTAGTTATTACTGTCTGTTCATGCACACACACACACATATGCATGCACACATGCACGCACACACACAATTTGTCTTTGGTTGATATAGAGGTATCATCGCATTAGAAAAGAGGGAAACTTCTGAATTCACTCCTGTCTGCTGATTTCCTCCTCACTCACTTTTTCCTCTTTGAGCTGCTGTAGTGCACTAGTGCTAGCACCAAACCTTTTGGGGAAAAAAATTAAACAACTGGGAGACAAAGGGGTGCTCAGTTGAGTGAACTGACTCCTCTGAGAGTGCCCCTTTGCTTGCTGTCTCCCCACCCTAAACTAGGAAGTTGGGAGAGCCAGTTACTGGTTACCCACTGCATCAGCTCAAGTGATAACACCACCTGAACTGATGCAAATGCATTTGATTTACAGAAGAAGAAAACCCAGCAGCAGAAAGAAAAGATATGAACTGCACGGGAAAACTCTGGACTGATCTGCATTGACTTGTATGTATATAGTCAACAAAAAATAATGCAAGTAAGACTCTCCTAATCTGGAGCAATTCCCATACTATTCGTTAATGTAATTGCACCTAGAGAGAAAAAGAGAGAGAGAGAACTAGATGTGTTTGAATTATAAAAGAAAGAAAATAAAAGGGTTGTTCTGAGTTTTTCGGGCTCTTTGGCCGTGTTCTGAAGGTTGTTCTTCCTGACGTTTCGCCAGTCTCTGTGGCCGGCATCTTCAGAGGACAGCAACCTGTGCTCTGGTGTAGTTGGCTTGGGAGAACAACCATTAGATCCCGGCCATGAAAGCCTTCGCGAATAAAATAAAAGGGCTTATTGCTATATGATATAGAGCTTGAGAGCTTGTAACGCTGAGCCTTTTCATTCCCCTCCTCGCTGTTTGTGCATGTGTATGAAATAAATTTCTATTTTGGTTCACAAACCTTGTTTTTAATTTTTAAACACAACCGTCACGAAGCATTATATCCACACATACTGCTGATCAGTGCTGGGTCTGGGACACATTGCTTATGTAATGCACCTAAAGTAACTAAGGCTCTTTGTTTCACCAGGCATGTTCTTATCTTTTTAAAACGAGCAGTGCAAGGTCAGCCTTTAATTGTGACCGTGCTTAAATAGCAATGTAAAAGGGAGCACTGGCTGACTGCCTAGTCTGGTGATAGGAATAAACCAGGAGAATGAGCCCCTATTCACAGCTAAATAGCATCTCCAAACTGGGTCCGGGGTTTGGGAGAATGTTTTCATTTTGTTGGCAACGCAAATGGGTAGAGAAGATGTGTGAGTGCCACAGAGTTATCTGAATGTTCTGTATTTGTTTTATCATAAGGAAGAGCAGAGAAAGTTTCTAAAATAAGACGGGCTTGCATTTTTTTTCATAGTCTCCTGGAAGAAAGATGGTATTTTCTGCTAAGATCCACATGCATCAACAAACAAAATCTACACTTTTCTTTAGAATCGTTTTGATAATTTGCTCATGTGATTGAATTATTAAAAGCTACACAATCAATCAGCTAAGATTAATTTAAACTATGCAAGTGCCCTAGGGCTCCCAATGTAAATTAAGAGAGACTTAATTTACTCACTTCCATAACAATCAATGCCATTTTCTAAATCATAAAATTAAAATAAGTATTTTTACCTGAACTTTCCTCCCCAAACCCTTCTGTTTCCTGTAATTTAGCATCCATTGTCCTTGAAGAAGTCATAGAACAATCACTAACAAGGGAGAAAAAAAAACCCAAACAAATGTTATTTAAGTATTTGGTTGACAGTGCATATTTATCAAAACATCAGCCTGAGTGTAATAACTAAGCCCTTCCTTGGAATTGTAAACATTCTGAAGTAGATCAGAACTGATGTCAATAATATTGAAAAAAGCAACTTCAAAGATAAATGCAATTTAGAACATTAGAATCACAGAATAATTGAGTTGGAAGGGCCATCAAGTCCAACCCCTTGTTCAATGGAAGAATCCAAATCAAAACAGATCTGACAGGTGGTAGTCCTCTTGAATGCCTCCATTTACTTTATGCAACACCCAGTTCTGCAGCCCATAACGTCTATGCCCACAATTCAACACAAAGTCAGTTTCATCTTGGATTTGCTTACTATATATGGAAGGGCTCTGTTCACAGGTGTCTTCACCCAGTGAGTACAGCATGCTCCAACATACACATACTGACCACAGCTTACCCCATTCAGCAAGGCCCCCTAAACATTTGTGTAGCACTTTTACAGAGTTGGAAGAGCTGGCAAAATTGATTTTGACTTCTCACCTGTGAACGGGTTCACTTCCCGCCATGGGCGGCCCCCCTGTAGGCGCGACAATAAGTGACAGAGGCTGATCATTAACTTGAACAACAGTCTTTTTATTTAACAAACTCTCACGTTCCACAGCTTCGAACGGGTCCATCAAGCTTAATTCTGGCAGAATTTTGTAACTTTTAACTCTCAACCCGGGCGTTGTCCACGCGCTTCTTACATCGGGGCTGGCCCAAACCTCTCGCGATCCGTCATCGGCCTCAGTGGTGTGGTCCGGACCGCACATATAGTCCCACAACAGGGGTGCCTCGCCCAGTCTCCCTCGGGTGGCTGCTGTTGTACCAAATAAGGACTGGGACAAATCACCCTCCGTCCTCCAGGGTGGTTGTAGGGGTACACGATCACTGTCCATTCTAGTGCCTTAAGGATTCCCTCTCCAACTCCTTTGCCTACCGGATCCGGCAACGGCCCTCCTCCAGTGCGAAGGTTGGGAAAATCTTTTAATAGCCCGGCCACGTCCGCGAGTTCTACCATAGGCTCCGTCTGAACTGCTTTTTCCACTTTCTCCCCTGGCAGCTCTGTCGTTATCTGAAAAGCCCGCACATTTCCCCCTTCATTTAATATCTCCTCCCACGTGATTAGATCTCGCTCCTCCCCCTCTTCATCTGCCAGGCAAACCTCTAATGCCCGTCTCTCTGCTTGCCCCTCTGTCTCTATTTCTACTAACACTCCCTCTACACAGCCACGGTCTTCTTCAGGCTCCGACACCTGGGAGGACGGCACACTAGTTGTCTCCTGCTCACATCACCTTGCGCTTTTTAAAATATATTCTGCAAATATAGATATTTAATTCTTAAGATGGATACAGTATTCCACTGTACATTATAGCATTCATATATTATTTCAGTAACCTTAACAGTAGCCCTGAAAGGCAAGCCAATATAGCCAACAGGGAGACATGAGGCGACAGGAATAGCGACTTGCTAATGGCAGCTTGTGTGTATTTAAGAATAGATCTGAACCAGACACTTCTTAGTCCTCACTCTTAGTATCGGATCACATATTAAGGCAATTGTCTTATGAAGGTATCCCTTCAGACATACAAAATTTTCAGTGCTACATACCTAAAATATCATAGATGCAGGCATGTTATCTTTCAATCAATTACAAAACAAAAGCAAGCTAATTCGTGAAGTGCATGCTTGATAAAATGGACAGTCCTTTTTTGTAAGCACACACCGTTTCTAAATGCACAATTCTACTGAGTCTAATCATGGAATCTGTGTCTCATACAGCATGGTTTTTAGCATCTACACATTAGATGCCAGCTAAGAACATGCTTTTTTTTAAAAAGGATAATGTCCTTTACCACGGCAGAGTCAAATATTTATTATTTGTCTACCTGGCTCCTTAAAAGGAGCGGAGGCGGCTTACAGTACATAATTAAAAGACAATGTTAAAGCTACAACAGTGAATATGCAAATACTAAAAAGGATCAAACAAATATCATATTTAAAAAACCACATAAGCAACATCAAAACACATTCAAAGCAGTAAGGTACAACAATCCATTTAAAACCTCCAATCAGACAGCCAGTCATTCAGGGAAAGCCAAGCTGAAGAGAAAGGTCTTTGTCTGCTTGTGAACAGCCAATCATTCAGGGAAAGCCAAGCTGAAGAAAAAAGTCTTTGCTTGTGGAAGGACAGCAAAGATGGGGTCAGCCTGGCCTCTTTTGGAAATGAGTTCCAAAACCTGGGAGCAGCAACAGAGAAGGCTCTCTCCTATATATCCACCAAATTCCTGGGAGGGTGAAGGGACCATGAGGAAGGCCCCTCCTGATGATCTTAGCAATTCAGCAGGCTCATAAAGGAAGATGAGGTCCTTGAGACAGCTTTGGGCCAAGCTATTTAGGGCTCTAAAGGTTAGAACTTTGAAATATTGGTATCTCTATGAAGCCTTTTTGATTGGTCCTGGTAAAGAGTTGCTTCATTAGTCTTCCTGCCCCCCCGCAACCCCATTGTGGTACTTACTCCTAGGAAACACACCAAAATTAAAGTTTGAATGATGTTTTGGATCCATTTTAAGACTATAAAACATGGGTATATTTTGGAATCAGGATTAAACTCGCAGAGAACTGTTGATATCTTAACATCGCAAATATTTTAGTCAGCATGATGAACATTTTATGTTATTCCCGTCCTTTAAAAAGCGCTCAAGATTTAGTAGATTATACCTTTGGTTATTTAAATAAACTAGTACTTCTTTTGGTTTTGCTTAAATATATTATAAAGTTACATAATTCACACCCAGCTTTCTAATTCAGCAAAGAACATGTTTCCCAATTGAGATCACATTATAGGCTTATCATGCTTCTTTATGAATACAGTCAAAGCAATGATCAATGTAGCAAAAGGTCAGCTGTTGCTATGTTATGAAAACAAATTATAACAGATGCATTTAGATAATTATTAGTCTCTAGATGAACAAAAAATTCAAACAGTACCTTCCCCTTTACCTATGTATTATTGATTCTGCAGAAAGGGATTTGTTTGTTCAGTTTCATTATCTACTACAAAGGAATCAATGTGGACAACCAGCAATGAATCTGGGTCCTGAAGTCTACAATAGAACAGTGTGTACATGAAATTCCATGATCAAGGCCAGGAGATCAAGAATAGGTTCAGCAATTTCATCCTGCCCTACTACCCTGGCCTTTTCTCTCTCATACATTCATTCCCACCATTTCCTCGTTTATGCTCTTCTTTCAAACAGTTGTCGTCGTTTAGTCGTGTCCGACTCTTCGTGACCCCATGGACCAGAGCACGCCAGGCCCTCCTATCTTCCACTGCCTCCCGGAGTTGGGTCAAATTCATGTTGGTTGCTTCGATGACACTGTCCAACCATCTCATCCTTTGTTGTCCCCTTCTCCTCTTGCCGCCCCACTTTCGCAACATCAAGGTCTTTTCCAAGGAGTCTTCTCTTCTCATAAAATGGCCAAATGATTGGAGCCTCAGCTTCAGGATCTGTCCTTCCAGTGAGCGCTCAGGGTTGGTTTCCTTTAGAATTGATAGATTTGTTCTCCTTGCAGTCCAGGGGACTCTCAAGAGCCTCCTCCAGCACCACAATTCAAAAGCATCAATTCTTCGGCGGTCAGTTTTCTTTATGATTTAAACAGCACCCACCACAAAACCTGACTGAAGCAACTACTGACTATTTACCCATCTTAATTTCCATCTACATCGGGGGAGGGGTGGATTATGAGCGGATTATGGGAATTTCTTTTTGACCCTGTGAAAATTCCAGTGGACTTTGGGGTTACTAGTTTTGATAAGGTTAGGTTAGTAGTATTCCTCTTGCAGTTCCTGATACCACTGAGAATTCATGTCTCTTATGAAGGGGGCTAACCTATTGACAACCAGACAACAGGCCTATCCACAAGTTCAACCCACCTTGGTTCCCTTCACTGAGAGAAAGATGGACTAGAAATGAAATGAAAACAAACAAATAAATAAATTGTGGATAGAGCTAAAAAAAGGTGGGGGTGGAAAAATGCAAGTCCTGCACCACACCCTTATTGAGAAATCATTCATATCTTTGTGTGATGAATGACACAAAGGTCTGAAGCAAATCTTGTAAACATGTTCAGATGAATAGATCTACAGAGCTCCTGTGATAAGGCATCGTGGCTTACCAAGCGTCATTTCGTTTTCATTCCTCACACAAACCTCTGAGTGAAGTGGGTAGGGGACTCTACTGCCCTATAGGTCCTCTCCATGGCTTCAGATATAACACCTGAGTAGAGCTTATGTTACATTTGCTTCTTGACATAATTCACCAACCACCCCTCTTAAAAAACAAAACAAAACAAAACAAACCAGTACTTTGGCCATGTTCTGAAGGTTGTTCTTGTTCTGAAGGTTGTTCTTCCGAACGTTTTGCCAGTCCCTGTGGCTGGCATCTTCCGAAGATGCCGGCCACAGAAACTGGCGAAATGTTAGGAAGAACAACCTTCAGAACACAGCCAAAGAGCCTGAAAAACCCGCAACAACCATTAGATCCAGGCTGCGAAAGCCTTCACGAATACATTAAAAATTTATTCATTGCTATTACTTCACAGCTATTAACGCTGGAAAATGAAAATATTTTTCTTGAATTAATGTTACTAACGCATCAGACTGAAATTTTAGTTGGCCCTCTCCATTTCTACAGATGGGACATGTAATTCCCTGTTCCTCCCAAGAAGGGAAAGACCGTAAAATTTAAATTCTAAAAGTATATACTGAAAAGCCGTTGACGCTATAAATGCATTTGGACTATCATGCCCAGAAATCCTAGTTACAATTACAGTTGTGAGTAGCCAATTTCATCTTTACAGAGCAATAGTTCTCAGTTTTGGATTTCAGATGGTCTTTAACGATACTTCTCAGAAGTCTTGAGAACTGCTATGGCCTTT